AAATTTTTTTAATATATATTTTGAAGGGCTCAAGATTAAAGCGTACTAAATGCGTGATAAAGAAACAAAATAAGTACATAAACGTTGGCCCACAAATTGAAGCTGCTGAATGGTTCAGCATATTGTTGATTTTGCGTAAGCTTATAGCCTTCTACTGGCCTAGGAATAGTAGCATATACATTAATCAATGCAGGAAACAGGGGCTCTCTGACTCTCTCTCTCTCTCTCTCTCTCTATTTCTCGTGAGCTCAAGTTTTGCTTTCACATTAATTAATCTCACTGTTTTTGATTATTCATGACCATTTAAGAGCTGTATGATAGGAAGATGATTCGAGAAAAATAAATATTAAAATATTAAAATTATCTTTAAATTATTTAAATATTTTTAAATAATTTTTGTATATTAATTCATTAAAATATTTAAAACTTAAATTTTTGTAATATTTACTCTAAGATATAAGTCAAAAGTTTCTTCTTTTTTTTCATAAATTTATATAAAAAATAAAAATTAATATTAATTTTAGTGTATATTGTTATATGTATAAATTTAATTAAATAATCAATAAATTAAATATCAAATTTTGTTATTTTAAAATTCTTAATTTGTGTTTTTAAGATACGAATTAAAAAAACTCTTAAAATTTTTTATTATTATTCATAATATTTTAATTATCAAGAAATCCTAACTTTTCATAATTACTAATGACATACCTATAATACTTTAAGGATGTGAAAAGATAAACATTAAGATATTGAAAATTTCAAAACACCTAATTAAAGCTATATGATAGGTGAAATATAATATAGTTCTACTTAAGTCTTATCTATCATATGATTAAAATTTAATATATGATGTTTTACGTGTCCAAATGCTTTTAACTTTTTTTTTTAATATTTTTTTGTGCAATATTATACAATATGATTCAATATTTTAAATGTAATTCCTTTTATTTGATAGTTAAATGCAGGAGAGAAGACTTCGGTCCTTCGGAGGCAAATTGTAGTCTTCTTGAGCCGGGCTAAGCTAAGATGTAGGAAAGAGGCTGGGCTGGTCCATGCAACCATGAAACCCGTGACATAATTGGAATCAAACCCACACCCCATCCCCATCACCTTCATGGCCTTCAGGGAAAAAAAAAAAAAAAATCCCCTCGGTTTATTTTCCAGTTAAAATCAAGCTAACAAAGTTTAAGAAATTTAACTCAAGTGCAGACTACAGGAGATCATGGGCGACTTGAACCTCCAGGATATATATCCAACTCTATCGATTCCAGATAACAAAAAACTCAAAAGTTTCTAAAGTCTTAAGAGGATGGAGAATAGCACATGCCTGAGTGTAAACCAGGATTCAATTTCAAGAATTCTGGCCTGGGCCTCTCCCCCAAAAATTATTGGAACTGTAAAGCAGCCATTCTCTGTAAATCCACAGATGACAAAATATCCAGTGACATTGAATCTCAAGAGCAGGAACCTACTACTGTATTACTGAACCCTCAACTGGTTTTTCGCGCTTTTATCATGCAGAATGTTATCAGGAGAGATGCTGGGTAGGTGTCTCGCGAACAACTTCAAGCGTTGAATCCTCATCACGCCGAGCAAATTTCTTTTGAAGTACCTTCTTAAACTCAATTTCGTCAAGGGCCTTGGCATTTTCTGCCGCGTGAACCTGTGCCAGGCTGGAATAATTTATAGCCGACTGAGAAATGAATGCCATCTCTTCTTCTGTGAGCTTCCTCAGGAACCTGGCTGGACTACCTCCCCAAACCTGTAATTAGTGACAAAAATCCTCAATTATCACAAATATAGCAGGAAAAACTAATATATCAAAGAACGGAGCCATTCTTGAATTAAGTATACTGGACTCAAAAATGACTCGTAACTCATTCACATTCCCCTTGGATGAACACTACTATGCAATACTTTACGATAAATCTCTCACGACCAAAAAGGTAGAGGTGTGAAGAAATATAAAAGGCATCAACTTCCCTGAGCTTTTCCTTTCCCTTGGTTCAGCCATTCTGTGTATCCTACCCCCCAAAAGGCCAGAGAGGCAAATACATAACAAAGTATTGACTACAACTTAGGTTTACTTCAAAAACAGAGAGAAAAAGCTACTTAAAGATCAAAACCAGAAGTAACCAGGACCAAATTTTTGAGATCTGCTATAGGTACACAGATCATTCAACCTAATTGACTAGGCCACCTATTTCAACAGAGGAAAGAATAAGGGGAAACCTCTATTGCTAGTCATTTGAAGTCAGCTGTATTCGTTGTAATGTACTTGAAGAAACAATTAGATATCTCATTAGAAGATGATACATGAGAATGAGTACTTGAAACCAACACGGTACAATCTGTTATGATTAGAGGAAAGACAGGTTGGATCAAGAATCCACCAGAATGTGGTTCAGGGCACCAACTGGGGACCACAGTCTCTAGCTTTGAGAATACCAATAGCAACAATTTATCTTCATATTGACCCGAGTCACCCTCACAATGGGTTACTAATTCCCATTCTTACTAAAACACATGATTCTTGATGTCGAATGAATGCTTTAAAGCTATATCTGATAACAGGGACAAGGAAGACTAAACACTGTTTTTGTATAGTTGCAATCACATACATGCCTACATCAAATATCCCTAGACCATCAACTCATGCATCAGTTTCATAATGTAAAAAATTAACAGAAGTTTCTGGATTTAATCAAATTCTGCAAGATGAGAAGCTAGTTAACTAATGTCAGTGCAGAAGTATTCACAAACCTCTCCACAAGGGATCCTAGTATTCTGCCTTACAAGAGCACCAGCAGCAACCATGGCATGTTTCTCAACATATACTCCATCTAATAGTGTTGCAGCCATCCCAACAAATGCCTCATCCTCAACAGTACATCCATGCAAAACAGCACTGTGACCTGTCCAGTTTAAACTGGTAATTAACTATTTAGCCAAAAAAAAAATAGTAATTAACTAGAGTCTAATACTCAGAAGATGACTACTGAAATTGGTAATTACATATCACTCACCCACGGTAACATTATCCCCAATAATGGCAGGTAAAACCTTCCCGCTTAAGTTAGATTTTGCAACATGAACAAGGGAATTATCTTGTATATTTGTTCCAGACCCAATAGTGATGCTATTGACATCACCTGCACACAACAGTTCATATTCATCAGAAAAAAATATCACCAATTAGGATGCAATAATGCAGCACAACATGGAGATAGAATCGTAATTACTGCCTAAGTTTCAATAAGATAAAATCAAGTTGCCAATACAGCCTTGATGAAAGTGAAGGCTGAAAAAAATTTACTAATCATGGTAATATTTTCACATAATAGCTGATGTAGAAATGCAAATTCTTATATATTCACCAATTCAGCAATCTAAGAAATTGAAAGAAATCAAGAACCAAGATTAGAAGCCTAGAATCTCATACCAAACAAAAAACATAAATACCTAATGTTTAAGTAAATTACCTAATGAACTAAGCACAATGAGTAACAACTCTCAACACGTCAATTGTTGCAGTTAGTTACAACCGCAAATGCAATGTCAATGTGGCTTTCTAGTAGGCAATATTTACATCACTGCTCCAAAACCTGGTTTCATATTTTCAACATAATGAATGTCTTAACATGCTAGCTTGAGTCTCGGAACAGCAGATGGCTCTACTTTAAAAACAAACATAAAAATTTAGTACATCTAAACATTATTATTACATTAGCTGCAAGACTTAACAGGAATCATTAAAACCTTGTTCCTAAATTCATATGTGAATACTAGCAGCTTTGTCAGTATGAAACTTGACAGAAATTTTCAGTCAATATACTCTACATGCAAATATCCAATGCCTTGGTTTCAGGAATTAAATCTAAAAGCATGAATAGTTTACTCATGGCATCCTCTCAAAGTCTTAGAATTTTGTCAAAGATTACATCTTTAACATTCCACAGCGTGGCGCTCACCTCTCAGAACACATCCATACCAAATGGAAGAACCTCGTCCGACCTGAACATCTCCGATGAGAGATGCACTGGGGGCAACAAACGCCTCCTTGTCAACCACCGGAGTTTTGTCAACGACATTCATGAGCGGGCGATGCCTCGTCACTAAACCACCAAAAAAAAAAAACTCAAAAATCAGCTAATAGAGCAAACCCACTTCCCAAACAAAACAAAGAATTCAGAGACGCATTATCGAAATGTAGAAGGGATTAACCTACAAATTCATCGTGAAACCCGATCTGATTCCGATCAGTTAAATGTCCGAGAAAGAAATTAGGGGTTTAGGGTTAAGGCACATACGCTGTTCTTGGAAGCAGTAATTTCCTTGGAGACGGCAGCCGAGGCGATCGAGGGCTTGGCCGGTTTCCCGGATCCAGAATCCGACGGAGTAGATTGCCTTCCCGAAACTTCCCATCTTCAGCTTAATCTAAGCTAGGGTGAATCCACGGTGTTTCTGCTTTGATTATATAGCAACGGAGCTTGAAGGGGGTTGTTTTCAGCTGAAAATGGAGTTGAACGGTGGACTGGACCAAAGCTTGCACCTTGCTGGCCTGGTGCTCGATCTCCTTCCTACGGCCAACTTTCCTGCAGTTTCTGATCATTACCATTCACTTCTTGCCACGTGTTTCTCGTTTTTTAATTTTGCCCTCCGAAAATTAACTAATGACATTTCTCTGTTCAAAATTACAGTAATTGTTATTTTTTTTGCAAATTTTAGGCTATGTATGCACCCATAAAAAAAATACTTGGGGCGTATTTGGTATGTACTTATGCCAGGAAAAGGAATTTTTGAAGCCACACCAAAAAGAATGGTTTGGTTTAGTTTAGGAAATTAAATTTATTAGTACTAATATACTTTAACTACAATATATTTTATTATAATAGAAATATAGTCAATTATATTATAATGTTTTTAAAAAAACATTTTTTTAAATTTTTTTTTATCAAAAAAGTAATAGAATCTCTTATACTTCTTTATAAGTGATTATATCAATATATAATCACTTATTTTTTTTATAATCAATTATATTGTTGTCTCAATTTTTATGTTAAAAAATTTAGAGTTTTAAATTGAGCTGATTGTTTAATGATGTATAGTTTTTGCAAATTCATTTTCTTGAAAAAGTGCATTCCATATACACCCTAACTTTGAGTTTTTTTTTTTTTTTAAAAAAAAAAAAAACAAAGGAATACATTTCAATTATAAATAGATTTTATTAAAGTGCTATTTAGGAACATAAGTGTATAATTTTTTTTTATAAAATTTAAAGAATGTTTCAATTGATAGGAGTTGTAGAATGCTCCCGTCTTGGGATAAAAAAAATTACTATAAGAATTTTCGTTGAATAAATAGAAGATTTTTGGAAACAAAACTAACCAAATGACTAAAAGAAGAGAGAAATGATAAATTGTAAATCCAAAAGAATGTCAAACTGAAGCATAAGCCTGGGCTATTTGAGGGAAATCCTTTATCAATCTCACAGGCAGCAAGCAGGCAGATTAGATTCCATGTAAATGGTGATCTAAGGGCAACATGAGCATCATTCAAACCGAATATTTAAGAAATTTTTACAGAGGGAAATGAGATTAGATGTCTAGACTGGCCAAATATCATAACTGATCAAGAAAAAATAATTGCCAAGTGGCAGCTCATCTCCAAATTCTTCACTTCCTCAAGCTTTCAACAATGTAAGCTGCATACAGATCCCTGATACATGAGACATCCATGTGAGAGACCAAATCCAACGCTTACAAAGTCATAGCAGAGGCCGAAAAAGGAGGATGAACAATATCAGAACAAGAACAATGCTTCACTTAAACCGACTTACATGGAGTATTTGATGGCTCCAATGGCAGCCTCAGCTGGCAAAAAGTCCTCTACATCTACCTTCTTATTCTCATTCTTTTTGTCTATTGTCTATAAGTGAAGGATAGATGAAAAGAATAGATGGATGTACTACTATTGCATAAAGAATAATAGTAACAAGAAATTCCAAGTCTACTCAAATTATGTGAGTGGATACAGTCCTCAAAGAAGCGACGGATTTCAGCCAGGCGATGAGGAGGAAGCTCTTTGATGTCTGTGTAATGGCGAAACTCAGGGTCATCAGCACATACAGCGATAATCTTGTCATCCTTTTCACCCTGCAAATAAAAATTGTGAATAGTGATTGGATGAGATGTCAAGGATAAAGGGTGGAATCTTGGAAACTGCATGTGAAGATTTCAGATATGGCAAATTGTGGGGAATCGTCAATGCAATCCATATCTTTTTGGTAAATGATCCCAGTAGATAGAACAGAGAAACTGATGCACGGATAATAAATAATATTGGCACATAGTTCCAAATACCCAATGGGATTGAGAAGCCTTATCAGACAACAGCCATGATAGCATAAAACTGCCTTCAATTATGATATTTCTATGCTACAATGGAAGCCAGACAATAGCAAATTTTCTTTACCTGATCAATCAATGGCATTAATCCAACAGCACGAGCCCGAAGGAAAGAACCAGGTAAAACTGGCTCCTATAAAAGAGATGAGAACCAGTTAAATTACTTTTATCTGAATACAAAACACATGAGGTTATTTATTTCCCTTAGAAGATTTATGAATCAAATGGGCAATACCTGCATCAGAACCAGGACATCCATGGGATCACTGTCTTCACAAATAGTCCGTGGGATAAAGCCATAGTTGTGTGGATAAACAACAGATGAGTAGAGAACACGGTCAACCTATTTTTAAGAAATCAGTCATTTGATGTTTCATTGTGTAAGAAATCAATCACTTGATATGAGTAAAAGTTTTTAAGACAATGGTCTTTAGAAGTCAAAATAGTGAAGACTCTACAGCTGAGTTCAATTTTGAGATTCCCAGAAAAGTCTAAAACCTAGATGTCTACTTCTTAACTCAACTAATATTAAGCTAAGGAAGTTTGAAGAATCTTACTTTGATAAGGCCAGTAGGCTTGTCGAGCTCATACTTGACTTTGCTGCCTTTGCCTATTTCCACCACCTGCAACACAAATTAGCAATGCCAAATTTATTCTAATGAATTTTTTGGGACCTAATGCATAAATCGTAATCTACCAAAGGAAATAAAAGATGACACAAAATGGGTAAAAACACAATCATATACAGTGAGGATTTGGGAATTATGATTCCACTGAAATCTGTGCATCTCTGTTTCCCTAACAAGTAACAATCCTTTAATATCATCAGGTCCTAAACAGATGGCATAACCAAACCAGAGGAGATTATTGACATTAGGGCCTGTTTGGTTTGAGGGGAATGGAGAAGCTTCCTTTATTTGGATAAGGAATCAAAACTTACACAGTTGAAAACTGCAGGAGCACCGGGGCCTGCAAAAGATACAAGAAAGGTCTCGATCAGGATTAGGTGGAACAAGGAAGGAAAAAACTAAGCGGAGAGGGAAATGGTACCAATCTCCAAGTCATGCCAAGGATGAGCAGCAACAGATCTTCGTGTCATTGAAGAAAGAATCCTCTCATTGAGAACCGGACGGGGAGAAGAAGAAGAAGAAGAAAAAAGCACAGAGCTTTTGCTTTCTCCACTATTGTCAGCCATCTTAAGAACTCACAACTGCTCCATCAAAAACAAAAATTCACAAAAACCCAGAATCAGAAAAAATACCTGGAAAGAAAATCCACAACATAGACGAACAGGAGAGAAACTTTACAGAGATGACTCAGATGAGAAAACCAGCAACAAGTGACAATGGAAAAGGTGTAGTTTGACAGTCCGGAAATTGCAAAAGGTTTGGTTAATTATTTGTTTATAGAAGTGAGAAGAACAGGCGCTAATTTCAGTCGTCGGGAAATCCTTTTCAACGGTCGGTCTACTCTAAATAGAGTTCGTTGGATTAAAGTAGTGTCAAACGGCTAGCAGGAAACGAAATGAATGCATATCACTTTGAAGAAAAAACTTAAGAAAAAAATATTTTACCATCTGTTCTCAAAATATTCGTAATTAAATTGAGAGAGATTCATGATATTAAGTGGGGGTCATCTATTCAATGGCTGGTATTTTATAATAGGATTCAAAAACTAATAGATGAGGTTTTTTCATCACTTGCTATATATTAAACAAAACGGATTGCTTTGCGTGTGAGTGGCTACCAAAATTCTTAGTTGGAAGTTGATAATGTTTGGTGTTGATGTAAAACGTTAGGATCACAGGTTTCACATGGTGGTGAATGGTGTGATCCCTTCATCACTTGCTAGCGTGGTTTTGTTTGGCTGGAACTTTCTGTTTTTTAGACACAAACCTCATATCAAGATTTTACAGGAAAATTTTACTTATGGTTTAGGTAGTGCAGCTTTTTTGGGGTTGATTTGCTCTCTCAATCATCTCAAGGTTTGAAATCAAAATCTATCATCTTTATGAATGCATTGATCAAGTTAGAATTAGAAGGAGCTTAGAACATTTCTCATTAAGTCCAAGAAAGTCTTCAAAAATTCCTCTTCATTTTCTAGAGGAAAGAAAGGGTGGAAAATACATTATCCTAACACTAAACTTGAGGGTACACCTGATTTTTCAGATCTTCAAATTCCAAGTTTCAAGCTTCAACTCAACCATGTTGACAAAGCCGCAACTTTCTGGCTGCCCCCTGATGAATTACGTGTACTGATGATGAATACCTAAACTCTTCCTGTAAATTCCCATGAACTTGGTCGGAAATTCTGAGCAAATTTTGCATGATTAATCATCTTCCCTTAAATGGATGATTCTTCTTAATCTTGTAGGATGGATGCACACATTATGACAGAAAAAACAAGCTTTGTATCTTCAATATTATGTTACCTTCTAATTTCAGCAAAGCACTTGTTCCTGTTGGAAGCCTCTTTTCCTGTTAATTACAACCTTATAGTTATTTTGGCCTTCCATAAGGCAAT